GGGGGCGATGGCGGCGGGCGGGAACGCGCGCGCGGAGCTGGAGCTGGAGCCGGATCTGGATCTGGAGCCGGGGCAGGAGAAGTACGACGCGGAGGAGAACGTGAAGATCATCTGCCTGGGCGACAGCGCCGTGGGCAAGTCCAAGTGAGCGCCGGGCATGCGGGGCAGCAAGGGGCAGGGGCGCGGGAGCCTTGCGCTGACAGGGCGCGCTGTGTCTCGTCCGCAGGCTGATGGAGCGGTTCCTCCTGGACGGGTAGTATCCTTTGAGCGGGCCGTGTCTCGCCCTGTCCTCCCCGGTCCCGCGCAAGGAGCCGGCAGCAATGCTTCCAGCACTGCGCTGGGCTGGGCTGGGCTGGGCTGGGCTCGGTCGAGCCGGCTGGGCTGCGAGGGGCCGCGCTCAGACCCCGCCAGTGGGGCACGGCCCCACCGCCAAACGCCGCTGGAGCTCCCCGACCCAGCAGGTTGCCGACCACTGCGCTTGAGAGCTGTTTCTGGGCTTTCCCTAAGTGCTGGTGAGCTCCTGTTCCTGCCCCACCACTTCACTGTGCCGGTGGCTCGCATCCGGTCGCCGTCTTGTCTCGGGTTTGCCGTGGGCCCCGCCCCCCCGGGGAGCAGGAGCACAGCCACGGTCCACGGTGGAAACGCCAGGTCCCGCAGAGCAAGCAGCTTGGCTCAGCTGCCACACACGCTGCCCCTTGCATGCTGGCTACTGCCCCATCACTTGGGACAGGCGCTGGGGGCGCTGGTGTCTGCATACGGAGCAGGGGATACAGGCTCATTTGTCACCTCCTTAACCCACGCACAGCCGCCCTCAGCAGCTCTCAACGTTCGCTCTGACCCTCTACAAACACACCGCCAGTGTGGATGGGAAGCGCATCCTTGTAGGTAAGTGCTGTGCTGCGCTGCAGATGGGCCAGCACCTCCTGGAGCCCCTGCCCCGTTCTCATGACAGGATCCCTGGATTGGGGTGCTCCCAGTCTTCTCAGCTGCAGGCGGAAGCCCTGGGGTTCACTCCTGATGCTGCGCGCTGGTATCGTTGATTCCTGGGCTGCCGAGTGCCGGGGGTTGCTCCGTTGAGGGGCGAGCGTGAGGTCCAATGGGCAGGAGCTGGGACGAGGGCGCGGCGCCGTCTTGGGGCAGCGCAGAAGGGATGCGTCAAGGGGGGGCTCGAGGCGAGTTTTGTGAACAGGGATCTGTGGGATCAGCCTGCATCCCAGGGCCAAGAGGGACTGGGACAAAGGAGTGCAGAGGAATATGGGGAAAGGGGTCTGGGGCTGAGGGAAGGGAGGGGCTCATGAAGAGGAACGGTAAAAGTAGCTGGTCTGCTCAGGCCTGGCTGGGAAGAGGCCCCCCATAGCTCAAGGGCCTGGAGGGGAGCACGTCTCACCCAAAGAAGGTAGGGAGGGAATACGATGGCAATGACCCCAAGTTCTTTCGGGCCCCAGTGTGAATCAGGGTCTGGGGGGGCTTTGCCTTTTGGTTGGTCTTGAGCCCCTTCCCCTTGCGCAAGCCGGGAACAAGGGCGGCCATTCTCATCTCAGAGCAGCTCTCGGGCTGCGTTCATCTCCACAAGGAGATTTGGGGTACCTGTCCAGTGAGGAAATCTCATCCCGTGAATGGGCAGCTTTGCTCCTGTGCTGCAGGGGGATGGGCTGCACGCTTCCCTGTGCACCAGGCCCTGATCAGGAGTAGGAAGGGGAGGAAAGCAGGGGCTCAGAGTTGTGCAAGAGGAGGTCTCAAGGAGGCTTAATTTCCCCTCACCTTCCAAAGTCCCCACATCTGTGTCCCCTTTGAGAACTGACTCCCTTGATAGTCCTGGTGCCACCTGCCCCTCTTGGGGTTTGCTGAAGAGGCGGCACAAGGCTGTCCTGGGCAGGCAGGGACCAGCTTGCAGTCAGTACGGCTGGGGAGATCATTGCCAAGGAGCCAGAGGGAGATCTGGGCTGAGGTTTGGGAGTGCTAAGAAATTCTTACAAAATGGGCAAAAAGCCCATGAGCCCCATCCCTGGAGCGGGGTGGGTGGGTGGTGGAGCCCTGCACCTTTGCAGCATGCACAGATTGTCCAAAGACTTACTACCCCACAGCTTTGGGCCATCTGCATACTCTGTCAGCAGTGAGAAATACGGGAAGTCGGCATGTTTCTGGTTGTGGGGGGAGCTGCTGGATATGCCCTGTGTTTGTCAGTGATGTGGAATAAAAAAATGTAGTCCAATGACAGAGTGGTGGTGACAAGTGAAGGGAGAGGTCACTGATACTGAGTGGACTGGAGCACCTGGTGAGCTGGGCACAAGCATGTGCCGTGAAACAGCTGGGTGCAAAGTCATCACGTGGGCAGTGACTGAAAAAGATGGGTTGTGAGAGTCAGCTGAACATGAGCCTCTGTGGAGCTGCAGTCAGAGACCTAATGTGGTCTTTGAATACAGAAGTGGGGGCCAGGTGGATAGAAACAAAGGGTGGATAATGACCTCAGCTCCTTGCAGTGGAGTGAGTGCTACTGGGTTTTTGGGGTACTTCCACAATTCAAGAGGTTTGTTGAGCAGTTGAGGTTCAGAGAAGAGCCACAGGAGTAAAGGTAGGATTGGGAGTGATGCCTAATTTTGAGAGGTTTGGGGAGGTCAGTCTGTTAGAAGATAAGGGCAGGGGTCACAGCAGATACATGTTTACCTGGGAACAGAAGTTTAATAATTGGGGTCTCTCCAGGGTGGCAGATGATTACAACATGGGCCTGTGCCTGGAATTCCTGCTGGGGGCTGGACCCAACAACCCGTGAGATCCTTTCCAACCCTGTGGTTTATGAAGCTGACTCCATGCAAATTTAGATGACAGATAGCTCCCAAATGCTGAGCCATGGGGGTGATGGAGCCCCAGATCAGCTGCCCTGGGCTGTGGTGGATGCCCCTTCACTGGAATTGCTTCGATCCAGTGCAGCATGTTTCTGAGATCTCCCTCTGTGCAGACAGGAGCTGGTCCTGCCAGGTCTGCTGGCCCACTGTGGGCCAGGACCAGGTTAGGCAACACAGCTGTTTGCCTGAGCCAGCATGGCAGCAAAGAGGCTCCTTCGGTCTCAGCTCAAGACCACGTCTGGTCTCTCAGTGGGCTTTGAAGATCTCACAGGGTGAAGAGGCCAACACTTCCCTTGAAACATTTGCTAACCTTAGCGTCCCCGATAAGGGAAGCCGTTTATCCCCCGGCTGGGACACAGGGAGTTTGCTTTGTCAGCTGGACCCTGGAATAAAGAGCGTGCTCCTGTCTCTTCTCAAGAGAATCTTTTTGTTGGAAAGTGGAACAGCAGTCTAGCTAGCATCCAGATTGGGCAGTGGAAATTCGGAGACACATTTGGGAGGATGGGTGTAGGCCAAGCTGCAGGAGCTCTGAGCTCCTCTTGTTCAGGTCTGGGATTCCCCACTAGCCCCAGGTTTACAGCCTCGCACGTGCATGTACATGCACATGCATGCACATAATTATTAATGAATGCATCTATCTAAAACATAATTGGGCATATGTTAATGAAAAGGGTTGATCATGAAGACCTCCTTGCCTCCTCAGTGAAGAATTTTTGACAAATACTTCACTGCCTGACTAGGATGGCCTCAGGGGAGGTCCATTAGATTTTGACTCTTATTAAGAGTGCTGTTCCTTGTCATGGGTGTCAGTTGCTTGGGTTGTGTGACTAGTTAAACACCTGAGCCAGTACTTTTCTGTTACAGCAGCAAGAACTGTGGACTCTGGCTGTGCAAGTTGGTCCTAATTTCTATGCAGTGGAGGATGTATACAAGATGGAGGCACTTACGCCAAGGCCTCTGATGTGTTCCTTGCACCACAGGCTTGTTCAGGCTTGTGTACCCTGCTCAGACGTCTCTGGCTTCTCCATAGTTTACATTTAGCCTCTCTGGATGCTGGAACCATGTGGGGCACCACAGGAGACCGATTTGGTGCCCTTAGTCAGGCCAGGCCAGCACCCTGTGAGGTTGCTCCATTGCTTTGGCAGGTAAAACACAGCATACAGATGTCCACGGTGGGGAGAGGGTGTCATTGCTGATTCTCCTCTGTAGGTAAGGGTGCTGAAGTTGCTGGGTCCCCTTGACAGTCTGACACCCCTTTTGGAAATGAAGTGTAGTTCTCTTCGATTGCGAATCACTTCAGAATATGCCCCCGATCTGGGCGCGCAGCCCTGTCCTCGTGTGCAGCTGTGGTACGTGAAAGTCTGCATGGGCAACAAATCTGTAGTAGCAGGGGGCTCAGTCCAGCAGGGAAGCTGTAACTAGGTCCAGGGCCTTGAAGTTGAAGTCAAAGATTAAGCAAGAAACAAGGTAGAGATGTTGGCACAGACCTCTTGGGGCAGGGAGGCTGCCGGGGTGGAGGGCAGTGCCTGCTCTGGTACAGGAGATGGGAGTGCTCCATTTGGATGAGTTTTGCATCCCCTGCTCATCCCCATATGTCTATGCGCTTCTCACCTTGCTCACCCTGTACGCCCATGCTGCACTGCTCATTCTGCCTCTCCTCCATCCAGCCCACAGAGTCTTTCCTACAGTGGTTACTACCTACCCTGATGAAATTGGGACCGAAGGTTGGACAGGTTTCGGGACCGGCAGCATCTCTGCAGGGTGGTGAAATGAGCACGGCTGCTTAGGCCAGGGGCCAGGCTCTGGGCATGGGCAGGATGTGGCTGGTCCATGTCATGGCACGCTGACTGTGTCCTTGTGCCTTGCAGACTTCTGGGACACAGCAGGGCAGGAGCGGTTCCAGAGCATGCATGCCTCCTACTACCACAAGGCCCACGCTTGTATCATGGTAAGGACATGCCTCTCGCCCTGGTCAGAGGGCCATGGCCGGTACTCGCATTCCCTGGATATTCAGCTGGCTTGTGCATTTCCCTTGTTGTGCTGCAGATATTTCCCCTTCCTGCTTACAAACCCCCTCCATCTGTCCCTCTCCCTTCGCTAGCTGGCCTTAGGCAGATTAATCACATTTAGTTCTTTAAACTTTCCTCCCCCCAGTTCCAAACAGTTTCTTTTCTGTTTTTGCTCTATTGGCACCATCTGTCTGGTACCTTTGTAGCTTTCAGGTGCCATCAGTCAGAGCCCGTCCCTGTCTCGCTTTGGAATGTGATGCCTTGCATTCCCTTGGCCTGTTCTAGCCATCACCGTGTCCCACCTCTGCTCTCCCATTCAGATTGCTTTTCCCTCAGTCTTCCTTGCCCACACACATTTTCTGCCCTGGCTCTCACCTGTTTGGTCCCCAGGCCATGCTGTTTTCAGTCCTTCCTAGTTTAGTGTCATCCATAACTTCACACCACTTCACTAATGTCTTACCAGGCCGCCTCCCCCTACTAGACTGTTAATGGAGCTAGTTAATTGGACAGGTCTATCCCTGCACACTAGGCCTTTTCCTAACCCCCCTCTGGCATTGAGGGGGACAGTTTGCTTGGCACTGTAAAAGACAGGTATTCAAAGGAGACCCAGAGATTGGTGCTGGCCTAGCGCAGGGGCCAGGGCTGCTTGCTTTTCACAGTGGGATGATACTTTGCTACTTTCTGGGGCCTGTCATTCACACTTTTGCTGTCAGCTGCTGTGAGCCGCTGGTGATGGGGCAGCTCCATGGGGCTTCTGCCCAGCCCAGCGTCTTCCCTGCAGGCCCTAGCTTGAGAACGCTGCCTGGTTAAAGACACTGGCTGCGAGCCAGGGTGGGGGGCAGTCCCAAGCCTGAGCTTGGCCCAGGGGGAGCCCAGGGGCTGACCTGCCGCCAAGCCCAGAGACTAGTGCTCTGTCCTGGCAGGTGTTTGACGTGCAGAGGAAGGTCACCTACAAGAACCTGAGCAACTGGTACAAGGAGCTGAGGGAGTTCCGCCCAGAGATCCCCTGCATCGTGGTGGCCAACAAAATTGACGGTGAGTGTCTTGCCGTCTCTGAGGCCTTCAGCCTCATGTCTCTGCTAGCAGCAGCCACTGTCTCCCAGCTACCAGGGCACGTGTGCCTCCATGCCCTTCCGGCAGCACCGTGCAGCACTGCATAGCTGGTGGGCCATCCGAGCACAAAGTGCACCCTGGGGGGGCACCAGCTGCCAGACAAACCACGGCAGCCAACAGGACATGGCAGTGTCCACAAGCACCTGCTGCCAGCTGCTGGGTGGTAGCAGAAGCTGTCCCCTCCCACAAAGGGCAGTGTAAAGCCAGGGTCTGTCACCACAAAGGACCTAGAACTGTGCCAAGAAAACTGCAGTGCAGACTAGGCCGTGGCCCTTCTGGCCCGCTGGGGCTGGGCCTGGTCCTGGGTGCAGGAGGGAGTCATCTGTATCAAGGGCTCTTGGAGATGGACTCTTCAGGCTATGTTTTACCCAGTGAAGCGCTGGATCCTTCTCTGGCCTCTCATGTTTTGGGTTCACGGAGTAACAGAGGCCCAGAACACAGGTCTGGCCTGCTCGCAGTGTATGCTGTACTCACGCTCGTGGTGTCCACTGTCCCCAACCATGCGCGCTAGCAGTCAGGTCTGCGCTTCAGCCATGGACCAGCAGCCCCCTGCCTGCAGCCAGCTGAGGTTAGCCAGCACCAGCCAACCTCACTCTGCAGGGCTATCACCTCGCCACTCAGCCTCCCTCTCGGGGCTGTGGGGGATGCTGCATCTGTGCCTCACTCGTCACTTCTCTCTGCTCTCCCAGCGGATATGAAAATGACTCAGAAAAGCTTCAACTTTGCCCGGAAGTTCAACCTGCCTTTCTACTTTGTCTCTGCTGCGGACGGCACCAATGTCGTGAAGGTAAAGCTGCTGTGTGACCGGCATCCCCAAGGGCAATGTGTGGTCTGGGGGGCCGGGGGTTGGCACCGGTCGGAGGTGAGAAAGAAGGAGCATTTCTCTGGTTGGCTCCTGCAGGCTGGGGCCTGATTCATGGTAGGGCTCCCCAAGGCCCAGGGGAGGTCATGTGCTTGGCTCCCCAGGGCTGGGGGAGCACGGAGGCCCCTGCCGCCCCCTGAATAACAAGCACTCCCTTCTTCCCTCAGCTCTTCAGCGATGCCATCAAACTGGCCGTCGCCTACAAGCAGAATTCAGGGGACTTCATGGACGAGGTCATGCGGGAGCTGGAGGTAAGACAGGCTCTGTTCGCTGCACCCTGTGCTCCCTGGAGGGGCTGGCACTCCCAGGCTGCTGCCTCCAGGGAAGTAGGTAGTGCCCTGGTAGGGGTCAGCTCATGGGCTGCCCCAGCCCCACTCAGAGGGGCAGGTGAGGTTAGCAGGGGCAGGGGGATCTGGTGTCTGGTGGAGGGGCAGGGGCCAAGCTGGGAGTACCATGCGGAGCAGGGGTGGCAAGTCACACATGAGTCTTGTCGTCCCCATCCTGTTCCCTTCCAGAACTTTGACCTGCAGCAGAAGGGGAAAGACTTGTCGGATAAGGAGGAAAGCTGCCCCGAGGAGAAGCCCCCCTCTACCTGAGCCTGCCCAGACCTGCCTCAGGCTACTGCCCATCACCCAGGGGGGATGGGTAGGACCATCGGTGTCTGCCTGGGGAGAACTGATTTTGCAGGCCTAGTAACTCTGGGCGCAGCTGTCTCAGGGCTCCTGTCTGTGGCAGGGAGACTGGCTCAGCCTGAACTTCCCTACCCGGCCCAACTCCAGAGCATCCAGGACATGGAAGGGGATGCATGTACATGTGACTACGGCCTGCCCCAGTGCAGAGAACACGCAGCAGGGAGCTGCAGGAAAGGGTCCCGCCCAGGCCATAGAAAAACTGACACTAAAGGACTTTGTGCAGAGCGCCGTGTCTTGTCCTTCCTGTGCCTGCCCTGGAGTAGTTGGCTGGTAGTGGGCCAGGTGCGAGGGCCAGCCCTGCCCATTGCTGCTCCAGCCCAGCTGCTCTGCCCTCTTGCTCCCTGGCCTGGTGGGAGGTGCAGCAGCCCTCTGCAAGCTGCATCACCCCTTCCCCATCTCCATCCCCTTCTGCCGCCCCCCACCCTCCAGCCTGGTGGGCGCTATGTGTGCGTCCCCTCAGTGCCTCATGGCTCCCATGTGGTTCTGGGCAGGATGTGGGAGGATAGAGGCAGAGCCAACCACAAGAAATACTCTTTTACTCTTCCCCTTCCAGCAGCAGGGGCACCAAGTGGAGCAGGGCTGGGTGCCAAAGTCCCCTGGGGCAGCGGTCAGCACCCAGAAACAGCCCCTGGCCAGCACAGTGCCCTGCTCTTCCCCCTTCTCAATGCTTGTCTTCCTTCACAGCCTTCAGGAAGTTGTTCAGTCGTTTGAAGAAATCGTCGTTGCTGCTCCGCCCTGACAGACAGGTGCCTGGTTTTGGCTTCTGATTTATTGGTGGCAGCGGCATTGGCGGCAGCTGCTGCATAGGGGGCGACTGCGAGGTGGGCATGGCCATCTGAACTGGGACTGACACTGGGACTGGGGCCGGGCTTGTCTCCGTCCGCGGTGCTGGCTTCATGTTGGCCACGATCCAGTCAAAGTAGTTGCGCGCGAGGGTGTAGATCCCAGGCCGCTGCGCCCTGGCACAGCCCATCCCCCAGCTGGTGATTCCCATGAGCCAGAAGCGGTCAGACGTTTCCTCCCGGCACTGGAGGGGGCCGCCACTGTCGCCCTGCAGCAGAAGTTGGGGTGTGAGACCTGGTGACCCCGGACAATGGGGGAAGCGCAGGTCCTGGCCCTGGTGGTACCTCAGAAGAGCAATGCCCCTGCCCCGGGGAGCTGCAGCCAGGCTTCCCTGGCTCAGGAATGCGCTGCCTGTGGGTGGCTTGGTACTGTGCGGCCCCCTCCCTTTCTTCCACAGCCCCCTGGGACTCACGCATCTAGGGCAGCTGGGGCCCGGGCTCCCATCTTATCCTCAGTGGTCCAGAGCATCCACACATTCTGCAGCCACTTGTATACACTGGTGGCAGCGACATTGCAGCCCTGCAGCCTGCTTCACAGGGCTCTGGCCACTCCTTACTGAGGATGCTTTGCATGTGTCTAGGGAGCCTGCTCTGGCCCCCCATGCCCATATCTGTGCAGCAGCCCTGGCACCGCGGCACAGGGGGAATACGTCCAGCTGGGACTGCCAGTGAGGGGGGCAGGAAGGGGTTGAGGTAAGGAGAAACTGAGGACAGAGTATGCGTGAGACCTGCTCCATCTGGCAACCCTGAGCTCAGGGAGGCCGTGTGGGGAGGGGCCGGTTCCACACACCTGGCAGCTGTCGATGCCGCCCTTCTTGTGGCCGGCGCATATGTTGTTGCTGTGGATGTTCCCCCGGTACCAGGTGCTGCTGTTGCACGTGGCATAGTCAATGTAGTAGACCTGGGCTTCCTGCAGGATGTCGGCCGTGACCCCGGCTGCAGGAGCGCAGACAGCGTTACCCTTGGGGCACCGGAGCCTGCTTCCCGCTGCCCCTGGCAGGGCATCTCGTCCCGGCTGCGCCCTGCCAGCACTCACATTTCTCCTTCATGAAGCCCCAGCCACTGACCCAGCAGTTGGTGAGCTTGTTCAGGTCCACGGTGCGGTCAGGCACGCAGGCCAGTTGGATGTACTCGTTGCACTGGACGGGCTCATCCAGCTCCAGCAGGGCGATGTCGTTGAGCTGCCCCTTGCGCCGGTAGTTCTCGTGCGGCACCACCTGCCGGTAGTTGCGCACCTGGACCTGGGGGCCCAGCCTGGAGAGCTGCGTGGCGCCGATTACTGCGCGCCGCCCGAACAACGACCTGCCCACAGCGCAGCACAGCGCCGGCTGCATCAGGGCTGGAGCCCAGGCTCCCCATCCCCATGGGGTTCTCCCAGTCCGCGTATGGGTGTGAGCATTCCCCTCCTCCCCCAAACTCACTTGGATGTGAAGCAGTGGGCGGCGGTGAGCACCCAGCTGGGGTGGATGAGGGACCCGCCACAGAAGTGAACGTAGCCGGTCTTGGAGAGAGCCTGGATGCTGACAATCCAGGGCCAGGCCCCCGGCATGGAGTTGTGGCCACCCACGACCCGTGTGTTGCCATAGCTCGATGACAGGGGCCGCTGCCCGCAGTTCAACCTGCCGGGGATGGGCGCGAGTCAGGGCTGGGCTTTGCCCCCTGCCACCCCAGGGCAGAGCTGTGCCCGGCCCCCACGAGCACTCTTCCAGGCCCCTGCCCCCCTGCTCCGTCTGTGCCAGCCCCAGCCTGGGGTCACAAACCCGCAGGGGTAATAGTCCCCCAGCCCCAGGCCAGCCAGCACCAGCAGCAGCAGGAGGGCAACCAGCCCCATCTTCCCCAGGCCCGCAGCACCAACTGCCGACTGGTGTGACATCACAAACCACGTCCTGGCTCCGGCCAATCAGCTCCGCAGCAGCATGACATCATGCAGAGCTGCTGGGTGGGGGTGACCCCCTTACCATGTCAGCCGACACACCAGGGTCAAGGAGCCCTGGGAGGAGGCAGCAGGAAGGGGAGTGGATGCAGCCGCTGCCTGGGATTCTCCCACAATGCATTGCAAAGGCCTGGTTCACGTAGCATAGAGATCGCAGGGCTGTCGGGGAGCTGCAGGGTCATAGAATCATATCATAGAAACAGCAGTCGGGTCGAAGGGACCTTGTAGCTCTTCAAGTCCGACCCCCTGCCT